CTCAAAAGAAAACCTCACCAGTGAAATATAGCTGTCCATTATTCACAGTCGATGATTAATGGAGCTTACTACAAAGGCGACTGAAGAGAAAGTACAGACTTCTACCCTCCCATGTAGCTGTCGGGTCATTTCGAGTGCCACCATTAGTGAAAGCTGTACAATGGCAATGGTCTCCATGTATGACTAGAGATACTCATGAAAGCCAGCACGTAAAACTGCATGAGTTCTCTTTTATCAGGAGCTCTCAAAAATACTCGGAAAAGCTAATTTTTTTATAAGAATCTCGCGGATGAGTATGAAAAAGTCGTAGAGCTCCTCCAGTGTCTGTATCAGTGCTTTAATCTTTTTGCCATTACGTTCTCGATTTTTTATGCGATTTAATTTAGTTCACGATCCCAAATTATCCTGAGAGATTAAGAAAATTCTCTCATATTTTGAAATCTTGTTGGATTTCAGGTTATCCACTAAGTGAGTAAGCTGTATACTTTGACAAGTCATAGATAGCCTTTTCTTGGAAAAAGAATAATTTCCCAATTATTCTCTGCCCCTGAGATACTCTGATACCTCATTAATGACTTTTAGTCACTCACTCAGGGGAGGTGGTCACTCTTAATGATAGGTGTTTGAAGTGGAAATAGAAAAGCATGGAAAAGTACACAGTCACTTAGTTGCCCACTTAATGTAGTTATTCGACATGTGTCTTAAAATTGTGGACAGCAATGAAAAACTTAATTGTGGCAATTTTCATTAGTTAAAAGCAAATGATGGTAAAATTCTGCCACCGTTGCTTTGGTCCACTTCAATCCAGACACTTCTTAACAAGAAAGGCGGCAGAAGATTGGAGTCGAACGGAGTCTCAAAAGTCCACCAGGCCGGGTGTTTGTTCAGTGTTCGCGCTCGGGTTTTCGAGTGTTGCATCACGACAGGAGAAAGTGAATAGTGATCTGAGGAGTAGTTGCTCAGTCTCGAAATAGGAGACCATCCATTGTCGCTAATTCACAAAAAATGGCTAGCGTAGACACTTGGAGTCACTCTGCATGAGACCTGCTGCTTCTTCTATTTTCCCTGAATGTCGTTGAAAGGAGCAACCGGTTTGTACTGGAAGAGCCTTATGTCTATTCTAAATGATCACCCTGTGAATAGAGCAGACCAAGGGGAGTTGAGATGGCAGGCAGACAGTAAAGGTGAACCGCTGGAGCAGTTTTAAAAACAGACGTAGTGGGCTTTGTTCTTCTATTCGGACAAGACGCATACTTGCTTCAAACTTTTTGCTTTTTTGGGCAGATTTTGGCAGAGATATAGGAAACATGCCAATTTCCGCCATTAGCACTAGCAACTTCAGTCTCATTCTTCAGTCCTCGTCTGAAGATGTTAAACCTAAAATCTCCAGCTCCATTCTTTTTACGGATGAAATCAAACATAATATCGAAACTTGTTTGTAGTGCGAGGGAAGTGTTTTTTTTTTGTTACATTCGAAGAGAACGTTAGCACTCTTGGTGGCGTGTGTGTATCTAACTATTCAAGACACCCATTCAGGAGCTCAGGTGAGTTTCGTCCCGGCGCACACGCTCTCTTCAAACATTGAGCTAGGTGACCCCGAAATCAGGCTCGAAATAGCTCCCAAAGAAGAATAAAGCAGGGAATGACCAGAACCCTCGTGAAAAAGCTAATTTTCACATCGAGTCGATTAAAGGCCTGATTGGGGGGTATGGGCCAAAGACAAGTCAGGGCCCCCACCGCTCAATACACCCAAGAAGGGACATGTTCAGCTTCCTCGTGAAAGCTGGCTTTTATGGTAATTAGGTACGTCGTTATCAATACAGTCAGTTATTGCACGCTAATGGGTCGGCTGCGCCTGAAATCTCTTACCCCATTTCGGATCCAGACACCTCTTCCGTAGTCACAGCCGTCCCACTTTATTAGAAACAAATATAGCAAAGGATATTTTTGAAGTTTTTTTTTCGCTTTTTTTTACTTACTGCTACCTCTGAACTATTTTATACCAATACTTTCGCTTATTACCCAATGAAAGTCTATGGAATTTTTACGANTTATGGTAATTAGGTACGTCGTTATCAATACAGTCAGTTATTGCACGCTAATGGGTCGGCTGCGCCTGAAATCTCTTACCCCATTTCGGATCTAGACACCTCTTCCGTAGTCACAGCCGTCCCAATTTATTAGAAACAAATATAGCAAAGGATATTTCTGAAGTTTTTTTTTTCGCTTTTTTTTACTTACTGCTACCTCTGAACTATTTTACACCAATACTTTCGCTTATTACCCAATGAAAGTCTATGGAATTTTTACGAACTATGTCTTAAACTCAAGTTCAAATTTTCAATTCAAAGTGGCGTAATAGTGGAGCTGTACAGAAATTCGTTTTCGAATCTTTACTCTCATCTCTTTTAATGGGCAGCGAATCGAGACGTTAATCCTCCCATCGGCCTCGTTATAGTTATGGGGTTACGGAAACGTACCCACAATAAGATCCAAAAAAATAAAAAAAAAATGAATGAAATGTTGGGGAAAAAGGAGATAGAATTTACTGAAGAAATCTAATAAAATTTACTGAAACAATTTTATGCGAAAGTTAAAAAACCGTTCCAAGGAATCACTCAAAGCAATTGAAATTGGACCTTTGGTTTTTCGGAACCTTTAAACGAGATTTGAGAAACAAGGTTGGCCTAAAAATGTAACAGTTGACTGTGGGTGTTCAATTGAGCCTACCCTAAATGTCACATTTTGAATGACTTCGAACAAAAAGCTAGGCAGATTCTTACAATCACGTGCCAGATTGTTTCGAATAGTTGACAAATTGAAGGTGAAAAAAAGGATCATTCAATACCACTAGTCATTAGGTAGTTCTGCCAACGTTCAAGAGCTTAGCGGAATTCTGTCCGGTCAGGAATTCGTTGAGGGTAGCTAAACTTGTTGCCAACACTGAAACTTTTATTGGAAAACTAGGGCGTGACAAGAAAAAATTTTTTGCTTGCAAATGTTGAGTCGCCCCAAGTTTTTCCTTTAGTTTTTGATCTAGAAGTTCTTTTTCCCTTGAATGACTCAGTTTCAGGCTCGCCGTGTTAGACGGAATTGCGGATGTTCGTCGTTCTGCAACTGTTTGAAACCCGTTCAAGTTAGTTTGCAACTATACCTTTGTCGTTTTTTTACTGCCATACATATCAACTTCAAGTTTTCGTTTTGCATCACTTAAGGTTCACACCGAGAATCACAGTATTTACACTTCACATCATTACATCACATTAAAGGTCTCTTAAACTCTTATTCCTTGCCGTTCCTCTTGTAGATGAGGGATCTAGTCATAGAGTAGGAGGGTTCCTTTATACGACTGCAGATTGCACTATTGCGTGGGGGGNNGGGGGGGGGTCGTTAAAGCTTTATCTCCGGTCAAAAGTTCTTAGTGGAGTGAACCAAAGGGCTGAACAAGGGATTCCCCCTAGCAGTCCTGCTTTGTCAGCGCCCAGAATAATCGAATTTTCGAAATATCTGTCTCATGTTTCCATAGGCATGAAAGATGATGTTCAAATTGGCATAACCTTGCTTTTTTTAGGCGGCAATCTCCAATTTCCAACCAAGCTGCTCTTGCCAACAAGCTCCCACATGTCTACCCCAATGTAGCCGATCCGAACTGGTTAGCAAGTTCTTTCTGTAATTTATTACTACTTTAATATTTCAGCTTCATCGAAGAAGTTTAATCAAGTGGCAGAAACGTTCTGTGTTTGTTCTTCGAATAGAGTCCAATATCATAAGATTTTATCTCCTATTAATGACCTCTTGAGTTTGCTCGGGAACACTCCACGAGGCGTTATGTCAATAGTAGCTGGCTATGAGCGCTTTCATTTCACCTAGTTGGGCTACTGCACACTAACGCAGTAGATAAAAGATTTTTACCATTTTTCAGTGAAATTGACTTCGTGATATTTGAACCTGCAAAAAAAACCTGTAGGCACTTGACTTTCTAACCGTTTTCGCATTGGGCTTCCAGTTGTCCCCGAGTAAGCACACAGTAAATATAACAAAGGAGTCTCGCGATTTTCTGAATCTTCCCGTCTGAGCGATGCGCCCCCGCACTCGACTTTCATTCAGAATCGTATGTAGTAGCGTAATGAGTGCGTATGTGTCCTATACAATGAGTTGCGGTGGCCAGCCGACGTACAAGTCAGTGCTTTTATCCTCCCAGATGAGTCTGGTAAAAATTCACCGACCCCGGAGGGATTGAAGGCTTGGTTGGCCTAGGCGGTCATCGATCCGGGATTCGAACCTCTGACCGTGCGTGTGATATAGTGCGCCACTTGCCACCATACCACCTCCGCCCTTTTCTGAATCATAACTGTATAAATCTTCAAAATTAGATCTTGTTATCATTATAGTTGAGGAACCAAAATACAGCGCTGACTCGTTTTTGCATTAAAGACGGAATATCTGTAGACCCTTGGCGTATGTTGGCGATTAGATATGGGAAAAGTCGCTTTGTTAGTGCAATTGATGTAATCTCTAGTCTACATGATATCATCGTGAATCGATGCTTTTGTGATGAGTAGAACCTTTCCATTGTTCCGTGCGCCAATTGCATATCATAATGAAGGGGTTTTTGAGCAAGATGCATATTAAGAAAGTTGTAGTGCAGTACACGATGCCCTACCAAATTACTCCTTTTATGCACCTTAACCGGAATTAGGGAGGTAATTTTGCCTCCAATTTTTCTTCCCAAACTCCGATGATATGACAAATGAAACGAAAGCTTTTTTCTCGCAAAATTCCGATGACATGAAAGCTGTCGTAATATAACGGTCGACCTTGATTGCCAAATGAGTCTTTATGCCACTCTACTCATCCAGCCTACGTACACATGTGCATTTTACTCTCCACAACGCTCTTACCTGCCATTTTACGGGCAGACAAAAGGACAAACCGGCAAGCAGACACACCAACCTGGAGGTTTATATAATAGAAGGATGCTACTCTGGCTGTAAGCTAGTATGTCCGAACGGAAACAGGTGGGAGGGTTCCCCAATGGGGAAATACATAGGTGGGGGACGGGTGGTAGGGACAGTTTTATTTCAAATTGAAATTCACAGGCCTTCTACCATGATTCTTCTTCTAAATTTAGTTTTACAGAGATCGGACTGCGCAGCCACATGTTCTCGTGCATGCATACCGTCCTGTACTGAACGCACTGGCAACCAGCTGTTGTGCGCACAGAAATGTGATGGAACCTGCCAAGCCACTTGCCTATTAGCTGCGAACCACGCCACCCAACAGCAGCAACAGGTATGTTCACATTACATATTGCTTGAATATTCGCCCACCGGTTCAAAGATGATTCGATTAGAATAGTGAAAAGCTTTTTTTANAGCTACTGTTCAAATCTTTTAATCGATTTCTGATCAAACCAAATAAGGTCCGGATAGGGCAGTAATTGGTAAACCACTGGATTTGTCTGTATAGTTAGATAGGCTATATATACCGTAACGCAATCAGCTTTCTCCATAACACTGCCATGACGCTCAGGCTAGAGCAGCATAGATAGGATAAAGCAGAAGGATGGGGTCGAAGTCTGGCGACGGTCTGGGAGGGGAGCATTAGGTCAGCAGCACGATTGGAAGGTTCCATTTCTTTCGCCTTCAGCAGCGATACTCTTCTGTGGAGCTTTCGTGGCAGCAACTTTTGTACAACCCTGCCTCCTATAATCAGCCGAAGTCATCGAACCGCTAATCGAGACTTCACACGCTATTTATTTCTTTGATAGCTTAGCTCAAGGGCTTGCCGTAGGCAAAGCACGTTGATGCCTCGATTTCTTCGGTTACTGCTTGAACGATTAGTTCTCCGAATACCGAGACAGAAATCCATTCTATAATGAAGTCAGCGGTTCGTCATCTGGCCAGAACTCGTACTGGAGTCCAGCTTAGGGGCCCCCGAAGTGAACGGTGACCTTCCACAAGTTCGCCATGAAGACCGAATATGGAAAATTCTGGATAGGAGGGCAGGCGAGAAGGGTCTTCACCAAAGAAGAGCTACAACTCATGAAGAATCACGGGATTTCATGAACATTAAGACGAAAATTCAGTACGGCACTCGGCTCTTACAGCAACCCCCTGGCTTACCCTAACACCCACCCCCCTGTCCTTGCCCAAAACCCTTTTTCGATGCGTCGTATATGTGACGGGTAAAAATTTGCGTGTTAACACGTGCCGGATTACTGTAAGAGCCGANTGCCGGACTGAATTTTCGTTCCTGTGTCATGGACAATATAAAAATGAAGACGATGTCAATAGTACTTGATTGTGTTCCACGGTCCAAGGGTAGATTCAAAGTTGTTCGAGAGACGCGAAATTGTCGCAGAACATAGCAACATAAGACGGCACTTGGACGTGATCTTCGCGGCTCCTGGATACGGGCTGTTCTCTGAGCAGAAAGTGGTCATAGTAATTTGGTTCCGATTTGCTTCTATGTGCGAAAACAGCCGATTATTTTTCATGAGGTTGATCTACGTCGCATGGATGTTATACGTACCGCTCCAGGCCACCTCCTGGAGCTCCTTTTTCACATCGTTAGGTCTCCTTGATCGAGCAAAGTTCGAATTTGTGCTTTGCTTAATCCACCCTAAAAATGGAACGTTTTGGACCACCTTAACGACAGACCATATGAATGAGAATGTAGAAGTTTCGGTATTGTTATACTGTACACATATGTCGCTCATAAAGTGCTCGAATTATTCCAACTCTTCATCCAGCCGCTTGTACTTGGATAATTAGAAAAGTCATTCGTAATCGCGGACCCTGCAACGGCGCGGGATTAATGCTAGGGAGAAGAGGAAAAGTCACTCGTGATGTTTCATCAGAAATTATCCTTTCTTGCCAAAGTGCCTTCTACATGGCGAAAGAGACGGCGACCAAGGAGGTCATGCCTATTCCGGTGCTTTGATTAAGCTCTTCGTCTTGCCATCTGTAGCATCACATATAAGCAGATAACCATAAGTTCGTTTGAAAGCGCATCGTAACCATTGAAAAGGAGTCCCGAAATTGAAAGATCTGGTCCTGATTTCAATAAAATCTAACTGATCGACAGATATCAAGAATCCAAAATTTGTTGGCCGCGGTTGGCCAGCAGTTAACTGGCCATGGTTCACTGATCTCGGGTGGCGGTACTTTTCCCTGAATTCCCACGGCAGGCAGGCGGCAGTGGTTTCGCGGTGACTATCGCATCCTTCCAATGGAAATTCAAAATTCCCCCTCCATAACCCGCGACTGCGTGGGATTGAGTGCGGCGAGCGCGGACGCGATTTTCTTGGAGAAGTTCTACACCCTCAATTTCAATGAACACGGCTGCGGTATGAGTTTTATCATCAGTAGCCGCTCTAAGTTGAGGTTTCTCCTTTGTCATTCTGCTGCAATGTTCATACAGAATTTCTGAATAAGTCATGAGCTCTGGCTGGAGAGCTGGCTTCCGCAAGCGTTTGCTGTTTCTTTTCATACCTTGAAATCGTTTGGAATCATAGAACACTTTGGAAGCGTGGATCAGTTAGACTTTTAGTCAAAATTTTCATTTTTCTGTCAATCATCACATTTCTTGCAGGTGATCAGCGTCATGCCGTCAAAAGAAGAAACCTGTGAACAGAACTGCCAAATTGTGTGTGTGGGTGCCTGTACTGCAAAAGCCTCGCTACCGTCCATTTGTGACCAGACCTGCAGCAACGCATGTCGTTTCGGCTGTCAGGACTCCACCATCGGCACTGCTCTGGCGGCTACACAACCCATTCGAATTACCATCGACGTCAACGATGGTTATTATGCAAGCAACTGCGACCAAAAATGTGGACAGACCTGCCATTCACAGTGTGTTTCACAGGGAAACGCTGCAGCAGGCTGTGCCTCGTCCTGCGATCAGCAATGCGCATCGTCGTGTGCCGCTCGTCCTCCTCAGGTAGATGAATTCGCACCGGCACCGAATCCTTGCGTTCAACGCTGCTACACTGACTGTTTACCTGCTTGCGGTATAAATCAACCCCTTTGTTCCACCACCTGCGATGTGGCCTGTCGTCTGCGTTGCCAGGATGACTTCTCATCATCGAGAGAACTCAGCCAGGATTCCGAAACCTCAAATCCGATTGAATGTATTCCACCGTGCATGCCAGCCTGTCTACCCTCATGCACTAACTCAGTAACACCTGCATCAATGGAGCCAACGCTCCTGCCACCAATGATATATCCACCTTCCACGATTATTTCCACTCCGTATACTCCAACATTCCAGGCTCCCACAACTGCCTCCGCCCCTGTGGCTACACCTGTGCCAATTAATATTAAACTCGTTGTGTGCCCAGTGAACTGTCAACCGGCCTGCGAAACCTCTTGTATTCAGGCTCAACAGCAACAACAACAACAACCGCAGCAGGTTACATCAAATGTGCAATGTATTCCTGTGTGTCAGCCGGAGTGTCTGGAGAGTTGTATCGCTGCGCAGCGTCCTTCTATGGTGATTCAATGTATTCCTGTCTGCCAGCCACAATGCTTGGAATCTTGCATCAGGACACATACGATAACGGTACCTAAAGAGTGCACGGCCGCTTGCCTTCCAGATTGTGAACCCACTTGTATACAGTCCGCACTTGCACCTCCTGCACCTATTCCTTCCTCCTCTGCTCAGCCTTCGCTTATGAACACGATATCGCTTCAGGTACCTATGCAACCGGCACCAGCTTTATCTTCAGTTCAATGTATCCCTGCTTGTATGCCATCTTGTGAACCGTCATGTACAACACAATCGACAACTGCAGCACCGCAGTGCATAGCCGCCTGTCAACCAGCATGCACGCCAAAATGCATCGAGCTGCAAGCCTTGGTTCAGAACACTCCCCAACCACAGCCGACTACAGCTGAACCACCAACTTGTATGCCAGCCTGTCAACCAAATTGTGAACCTTCCTGCGTTCGTAATGCTATTCTGTTCATCGAATCAGCTATTCCTAAACAGCTACAATGTGTTCATGCTTGTATGCCATCGTGCACGAGCGAGTGCGTTCAGAGTTACGCTCAGCAATTACCTTTGCCATCAGCTTCGTTACCGACTCAAGTACCCACGCCAGCACCTGCTCAACCTGTAGAATGTATAGCCGCTTGTCAACCCGCTTGTGAGCCGTCCTGTGTTCAACAGCCGACTGTGGTAATCACAGTAACTGAAAATCAAATTCAGTGCCTGGAAGCTTGTCGTCCGGAATGTGATCCGACATGCATAATGCGTCAGAGTTCTACACAGGTACTTATTCAATCAAATGTCACTTTTATGACTTGAAATTCGCTTCGTATATACTACTACTACATAGTGATCCCCTGTGTGCCCATTAGTTCCATTTCCCATCCTTATTTCCTTCAGAAAAGATATTTCCACAGCATATGTAGCGTTTCAGGGCAGGATAAGAAGTCCCTCAATAGGACCTGCCAAGATGTGGGAGAGTTAAAGTAGTCTACCCACAGAGGTTGCTTTTGCTCTAACTTCATCAGAATATTTACCTGTTGCTTCCACTACGGCACCATTGGCAATAAATATGGCGCGGATGTCGTAGCCCGTACCTCACCCTACCTTGTAGAATTGACGTTAACCGAATGTCCAGAATGAAAATTAGAACTCCGAGTTCTTTTCTGAAAAATGAAATCACCCCGTCTCGGCTCGATTGAATGAATTTGGTGTCGTCCTCAATATTTTCATTAATTTCTCTAGCCGATTCCACAACTACCACCACAGTGCATCCCTCAATGTCAACCCTTGTGT